CTGCCTCTCACCACAGTGGAATACGTCTGATTTGTATTCATTCGAACCTCCATTGCAGGTGCTTTGTTGTGCCGACATTCCTAATGCGCGCGGTCATTAAATTAATGATTTTAACACTATGTTACACAACACTATCTTCAAAGTCTCTATGGGTGTTATACTAGCTCACCTGACAAGGGCGTGTCATACAAGAATTAGTGCCTCTGTTCAATGTCTGTTGAGCGGATTTCTTACTGGCACTTTCTCAGGTTTTGACGGTCAAATAACTTCTTTAGAATTCGGCATTTTTGTCAGCGCTGTTTGTGCATGGGATATACAGTGTATCCAACCATGAGGTAAAACTTATTTTATAAAGTGGGGAATAATGATGTTACGTGTGTGACCAGGCATAAAACCTTTGAGTGACTGGTCGTGTTATAAATTTTAGAAAAATTATTTATTACTACTACTACCACTACTATGGCATGGGTATATAAATGTTCATGAATATCATCATTTATGGTTTAGAGTTTTACCTTCAAAAAGAAATAATATGAGGTTCTTATTTAAGTGCAAATTCTGTTAATTTTGGAGAACAAAGACAAGGTATGATATGGAAGGCCCTCGTGGGTACAGTTTGTGGAGTCATTTACAGGTGTTACCTTTCGACCTTTGCACTGTTTTAATACAGTTAAAGTCAGATTTCATCCTGGGTTCGGATGAGACAATTGTCAAACGTATTTGTTCTAGACAATTACATACATTTGGCGTATGGTACAGGGTATCACTGCGCGCGCAAGCATACTTCTTTGTCACTTGTTTGTCCGTTTTAGGTATATTTCATTTTAATTATTTTGATAATGAGTTGCGCTAAATTTGTTTCCCGTGGCAATGCTCTTCCTTGACTGTTGACAAGTCTATGATTACATTCGAACTACAATGGCTCACACGCGCCCTGCATGATCAAATTATTTACGCCAAGACTTTGAAAGTCGACTGAACTCTATAGATTACGTAGTAGCTTGTATTCGAATAGCAGTGCGCCAACGGCGATAGGAAAACAATGAAATGAAACTTATGGTAGTTCACCATTCCACCCCCTCTCTCTTTGGGTATGTGTATGCGTGTAAGACAAATAAAATAAGATTGAATAATGCAACCAATAGAAGAAAAAAGTAGTGGTTATCCAATAGCAAGTCGAAGGCGGCGAAAGATGTCAATCATTTTACATCCCAATACCAGTACAGTTACACTTCACAATTCCGTTATTCATAACCAACATTTATTGATATAACATGGATGTGAATATTTACATTAAATGTATAAAAATAGTCTAAAACACTATAAACTATGATATAAACTTGAACTAAAACAATGGCAAACCTGGATGTTAACTGATTTGTTAACGGTAAAACTTTTCTCTTATTTACAAAACGAACTATTTTGGTTCTAATAGGTAGCCTATTTGATACACTTTATTGTTAGTATATATTATAGTTCAGCGACACTGTAATATATGATCAAGTTCTATCTAAAACATAATATATGCTGTAACAATAGCACTGGCAACGTATCTCTTACACAATAAGAAATATGACACCATTGACCTAAAGGCATTAACTGTTATAGAATGCATAAATATCATTACACTTTTGGTATAAGATGAAAATGGCTAAAAGTAAACAACGATCATTTCAGTTATACCAATAAAAGAAATAAAAATTAATTGGCAATAAAAATGTCAAAATGTAATCATTCGAGATCTTTTTTCAGATAATGTTGGTTATACTAATTTGTATATACTTGCATTCTAAAAAAATGAGTATTCTTCATATACAAAAGAGTGCATATGCGCTTAAATAAGAAATACCGTTGTACTTAGTATATCATTATCAAAATCCATTAAAAATTGTCAATACATTTGTCATTAAATCATGACATACGATATGGTTGTAAAACTTGTAAACGTACAAAAGGCTTCACGCCAATTTTCTGGTATATCATTATAAAACATTATAAATATTAAATATATTAAACCATACGTTGCAATATCGATTAACCCTGTAAACCTTGACTCATAAAACAATTTGAGCCCTGATTCACACATATTGTATAAAAGAGATAATTGACTTGTAAAACACTTTTTGAAAATGGTTTCTTTCCTCAGTTGTAAAAACTGATGTATGTATAAAGTCATTAACAAACTACAAAAATCGAGATCTTCTGTTCATAACAAAAGTGAAATGTTTCACAGCCAGAAACCGAAACAAAATCCCCCTTGTTAAGGGTCATTTTAAGGCTATGACCAGGTCAGTTTCTATAGTTTTCTATAAGTGGAGAGGAGACAGGTGAAACTTTTCCAAAACTGCGTGTCTCTTTGGTCAGTTGGCTACGGGGTATATCTTTACAGACACAAAGGTAAGAAAAACTTATATTCCTGGTGTTTGAAAATGGAACGCCTAAATAAAATGCGTTTCATATAAATAACCAGAGCACCCTAGGGCAACGACAAAGTCACGTTTAATTAAACTGAAAGGGAAATCCAGCACATAATTTGAATTTTCTGTCTCCTCCCCTTACCGCGCCAAATCCCGCCTTTTCCTCTGTATTGCCAAGCAGGTGACCCGGCAAATATCAAGTGACATGGCCACCATCTGCCGTTATTTTAACTCGCGAGACGATGCACTGTCAACAGAAACTGTACTTTAACAGGTGTCGGCGGGTTAAGTAGACAGCATTTGGTGGCATAATTACTATGCAAACATAATCTTAAGTTGAAATTAAAAATACTTTCAACTAAAAATTTCTTAACAAAATGAATGTTGATCACGATTGACTTCATTTTCCATCTTACATGGAGACCTTAAAGTTGCACATGATGGTTATTTCGATTTCGGACTTAGCAAAACACTCAACAGGTCTTGTAACGGACCACTGAAAATTCTAATTCATATTGTGAATAATGAGATCACTTCCTATGGAGCACTGAACATATCATAACATATCATACCATCATTCTTTGTCCACAGATAACCAGCTAAAATAAATTTTATCATCGCACTTTTATCCGTTATACACAAAAAAGGAAAAAAATACATATCAACGTATCCCGACAGATACGATAATCAATGTTTAAGTCAGGTTGGAAGCTTATCTATGTTATCTGCTGGGGATCTGCATAAAAATATACACGCAGGGCCAAGCGATTTAAGTACAAAATTCTGCTTCAACAAGGGATTACATCATGATTCAACATGGTACGTTACGGGAAGACATTGTTGCTGAGAGCCACGGGTTAAATAACCGTGTCACAAAAACCGACTTGTCATCTTTCTCATAGGACAGGTGAAACCCAGTAACGGGACCGTGCCGCAATCACCCTCATGTCACCTCCAGGCTTGGGAAAAATTGGTTCAACATATCAGTCGTGGGGATGATGGTGACGGCTATTTGTGCCGCCGCTGGTGTTGTATCTGTCTGTCTGGATTTTCTCTCAATATGACCACCAAATCTGTGCAATAACTGCAAAGATACAAAAAAATTCAATACAATTTAATGATTTGTGATTTCATCGAGACTTTCAATGTTTTACCTTACGATTAGCCTTTCTGTAACGATGTCTTTAACATTTTTAAAAAATGAAAATTATAGATTAAAGGGCAGTTAAACACCTGCAATAAATAATTCTACTGACTTTATTTATCGACGTAGAAAAACATCAAACAATTTCAACGGTTGCCTGCATAAGCCCATTTTGTGTGAAACTTAATCAGCGGCACGGGCTGAAACCTTTTTATGTCCACAGAGGCGCGCGCCAAAATTGTCTGTGACGGTGAAATATTACACTACCTGCGCGTAACGTGCTTTTTAAAGAAGTCAGATTTCTTTAACAATTACTAAAATGTGGCAAGTAGACTGTGGGACAATGAAAGTTGTGCAGAAAGACAACTACCGCCAAGATATCTGGCGCCGGTTTTCCAAATAAGGGTATGAACACAAATTATTCGGGATACTTAATTGCATCGCTATGACAACGAGGCAGGTGAAACTTGTGCAAGGTAATTACGATTTCCCCTGTTGGAGGAGGGAATTTACATACGTGCATTAATTGGCTGAAACCAACGTGATATCGGCGCAAGGAGAAGATGCTTCTTCTCAGATAGCACGGGGAAACGAATGCTCAAGGGTGTCTGACAAAATAACAATTACGCATCCCAATGCATTTTCATATTACGTTCTTGTACTTGATATAAAATACATTGCCGGATTATAAAAAAATGAGGCATTTCTAAAATCGATTTTTTTACCCGAGTAATATTTTGAGACAGATAATGGAAAAGTAGGCTACAAAAGAAATGTATTCGCGCTCACGTTTGATGGGCTTTGCGCGTGCCGTTAGGACAAGCTTTTCAACTTGCCATTCTAAAAGAAAAATAAAAAACGATTTAGACAAGAGGCTACTAAAGAGTGAAAGCCTTAGAGACCGTCATATTAAAATCCCAACTTTCAAAAATGTCGATTTAAATTAATTTTTATGGTAATTTGAAATGCAAAATAAAAAAAGTTTTGTTACAAAAGAATAAAGCACATTTTTTTCTACATAAACGACTACCGCAAGAATTATCAATATATTATCATTAAAGTGAACAGAATGCTGCATTGTAAACAAACATTTTTTGTTTGTTTCTATTTAATTTGAATTTATAAAGTTGTGTAATCCATACCTCTGAAGCTAGCGAGCTTTTGCATTAGAATGATTATCATGACAATTTTATGTTTAACGAAGAAGCGGAGCACTGGTTATATCATTAATAAAAACACATATTCATGAGGGTCGTCACTATATACATGTACGTTCAAAAATTAATATCATGCACATTAAAAACTACTGATCACCATCAAAATTCAAATCAAAATTAAATATGAATAAATATCTGAAAAACTTAGCCATTGGTTTTAACGATTATCGCGGATACAAACTATTACATCCAAAGACTTAAAAGAAAATATAAATTTGTACCTTAAAACAAGTTAGCAAAATCCACCAAATCCGTTTCATCCATGTTCATCAAATCCTCAGCAGACGAATCTGAAACTTGGCTGCTGTAGTCGGACGACAGGACAGATGATATGGAATTTGCGGGTGAGTTCGGCGTGGCTGGCACGTTTTCTTGTTGATAGCCCTCGGGAGATGTGCAAGTGTAATACATTGGCGGCATAAGACCAGGTGTTCGTGCTTGATTGGGGGTCGTCACTGGATTTTGCAAATTCTGAGGAAAGAAACTCTGTTCCTCTACGTGTGAGGAGCCCATTGAGGGATGGACTTGTATCTTGGCAGAATAATTCATACTGGACGGCACCCCAGACGACAAATCCGTTTGTACTTGTCCACTGAGAAAATTGTTGCCCGTTTCAGTTAGCAGATCTTCCATATATCTGATGTAATCTATGGCTCTTTTCAGTGTTTCAACCTTGCTCATCTTTTTGTTGTTTTGTCCATTTGGCAGATGTGATCGCAACACAGTGAATGTCTTGTTTATGTGTTTTACGCGATTTCGTTCGCGTTCGTTCCTTCTCATAACGGACCCTGTTTGCGTTTTTACGCCAGTAATTTTGTTCATATCTGAGCGCCTTTTGCAGCGTAAAGGTTCTGAATCCGGGTCCAGGTTTTCATTGCATGATTTTGTAGTGGGCACTACCATAGCTCCACTTTCGTTGGATTGGTACGGACTTCTTATAATTATGAAACCCTGTGAGAAAACCGGCGACGAGTTTCCGCACGACATTGTCTCTAAATTCTTGTGCATACTAGCGCTGCGCGTGCGAGTCGTGTGCCAGTTTATCCCGACAACCTCTCCTTATAAAGGAGGGAGCATGCGCGCGCGCCTTTTGAAGTAGTTTGTTCTGATGTTCTAATAGTGTCTGTGTGGATGAGTGATTCTGAATGCCGTCACCTGCCAGTAGTAGTTCGTGCTGTACTTAATCACCGACCGCAATGCAGGATGACGCTCCGCCCCGACTTCATCTACCTGTCACTGTGGTGTCAAAGACGTGCGCGCGGCGCGTGCCCGGATTCGTCAGTCTCACCAAGGATGATCATTATCTTCCCCGTGGCCCCTAACCCTTTGCCCTACCCCAATTATATGCAGGGGGAGATAAAGCACACGCTGGACTCATCTGTAATCGCTAGTGCTGCTACATGATTAAGCTACAACGTGTCTCATTACGCCCTCCAGCCAAGCATCAATCTCACAGAAAATCCTTTCTATCTTCGGTCAAACGTGGAAAAGCATAATAAAATTTAACCATACTCGTTTGCTCCCCGCTATCCAATACAAGTCGAATTAAGGGAGGTTTAAATCAACGGTTTAAAGCAAAAGGGACTTTTTATGTCCAAAAAAAAAAAAAAAAAATGAAAAAAAATTGGTTGATAAATTTACTGCACTAATTTTGTAACAGAGTACTAGCGGAACCTGTGGTCAGAGTGTAAAACAATGATATGGTTTGGATTTAGTGATTCAATGAATGCAAAAGGTGAAGTTAGCATTGGTTATTAGTTTTATAAGTACATAAAAAAACTTATTGTGGAAAACTCAGTGCCACTTATCGCCTCCCATGCCTTTAACCATCGTCACAGATTCAGACCCGCTTAGCAAGCTCTAAAGAAAAGAATATGTGTCAAAACATTTTCTTCAATTTGCACAAGCGACGAGGCATGACTTGTGGTTTCGCTTCAAAGCAAGTCGAACCTGTATCATCGCAAATCGCTCAGTTTTTTTTTTTTTTTTTTTTTTACGCGCACAGGCGTCAGTTGTTCGGTCTGCCCGGTCACGATTTATGGACCTTGAACAGAGGCAATCGTCTCCATCACGGCACTATGTACACGCGCTTCACAAGGCCAAGAACGGCACATCTGCAAGTTGACCACAGCCGTCACCAATTTCTCTTACTTATCTTTTATTTATTTCAGAAAGTGTCTAACGACCGTATAAAGAAGAATATGACCTTCTAGTCTTTAAATAATAATTTCTAGTCTTAATCGTTGGCTATCAAATTGCTCCGGCGTAACATGAAAATTTGATAACCCACTGAAATATGATATGTTGAAAACGAGCTTCGTTAAGTAAGGGAGAACAACAACAAAAACAAGTATAACAAAGATTAAACTACTTTAAGCCCCTGGGCTAAATCGCTCACACACGCGCATGCAAGCTAACGCACCTAAGTGCTTATTGCATTCGAAACACAAGTTTCGTGACGACATTCTTGACACTCATTTGATATGACGTAACACAGATCGATAATGAGTTACCAAAGTCTAAGAAATACAAATGTAAAAGAAGGAAACATGTAACATTTCGAGCACCTAGCCTGATTTTGAGATGTCACATACTCAGCGTGAAAGTCTCAAGCACCTGTTTTGTAGAACTCAGTAATGATAACCACCGTGTGAAACCCAGAGTGTGTCAGAAACAGTTGAAGAGGTGAGCACTGCTAATATTGAGATGCTCACCACTAGATGAGGTCCACTTAAAACAGCTGATGAGCACTTGAATTCTTGTGGAAAATTAGCCACGAAAATTTGTAAGACGCTGGATTACATCTGCGTTTTAGACGACGTTCGTGGGGTTCATCAATTTGCAAGTTGATGAAAAAACCTACAGACGATAGTTACATAATCATTCTCACAAGTCTTATTATTCTGATAGAGATATCAAAGTTAGCATCAACAAATGTTTTAAATGTTATAATGTATAATCGAAATAAAATATAAAGATTTATAAAGAATGATAAATATGATGAATAACGATTTATGAAATATAAAGTTTTTGGTCAAGGACAGAACAAGAACATAACAGCTTCAGAATCTCTTTAAAATCAGCTAAAAACTAAAAAGCAGAACAGATACGCATGTAGACTTGCTTACGTGGACGGTACCATACGTGTCAATTTAGCGTTGTCTAGATGGCCCATCTGCCCGGATACTTCAGTTACCTTGGCCTGTAATATACCCCTACAAAACACAGACATACGCTGCTGAAGTGACGCTTCTTTTACTATGCGCTTTTGTCATGGTCAGAGTACCTGTGCTAGACGAACACGAAAAAAGAAACAAAAGTAAACAGTAAACAGGCAAACAAACAAAGAACGAGGTAAAAATACAAATCAACTGACAAGCTAAGACGATAACAAACACTTAAAAGGGTAGAAAGAAATTCATAAAAGAAAATGGCGTGAAGGTGGGCCGATATATCCAATATCATAAAAAGAATCTTTTAAACAAGCTTATTCGACAATTGAAGTTCAACGCACCTAAGCTTTCTACAACTTTCACAGAATTTCGCAAATATAACGCTACTGTGTGTATTTTTGGCACAAAGGAATTCTCTGTTTTCACAAAGTGAGGGCAATTTTCGACACGATTCGCATCTTCCTTTGTCCGCTGAATGCGGGAAAAAATAACCGGCACATATGACATGCCGCGAAACTAAGGAGAAGTGAGGACAGCAGGTGTTCTCCCTAAAATATACTATGGACAGTGTATTAAGCGTGCCATCTTCCTCAATGGGTTGCTATTAATATCAAGCATAGGTATTACCTGCCAAATTCAAAGTATTATCTTAAGTCACTGATCGTTTTAAAGGCGTCAATATTCATCTATTAAAGCTCAAGGGGAAATAAAATCAACATGTACAGCTAAGTTAACGCACGCAGAGAGAGAGAGAGAGAGAGAGAGAGAGAGAGAGAGAGACAAAGTAATGAAACTAACTATTCAGTAAAATTGCAAAACATTTTCCAAATTAAAATAATTTTAAAGCAACCAGACTCATGGTTAATTTAACATGTCTAATATTTCATGCCATGGCCCAATGTAACTTTGCTCTTTAATACTACTTAAGGGTTATTCCTCTGTAACATTAGGTTCAGTTTTTGTTGTTTTTTTAAAGATCTTTGTATCGCTCACACCAAAACTCTCAAGCGTTTTTGTTTAACTAACACCACTCTGTTACGTTCCTTGAAAATTTCAACAGATTTGCGTACCTCAAATGTTACCATCTTGATATTATAACAGGGGTTATTTAAGACGTTGTTCTTGATTAAAGGCTTCTTCCCGCCTGAACATTCCTGCCACACCCTCTAAGATCTTAAATCTATATCATACACCTACTGTGTTCTTACTGCAACTGGAAAAAGAAAGTAAAAGGAATTAAATCCTCGTAAGAAGTAATTTCCAAGTGATATCGCGGCGCAATTTGAGCTTTGGGTTCCATCACATCATTTTCCCTTTAGACAGAATCATGTTAGCGGAGACACCGCAGACTACCTTTGAATGATGTAAGCTGGTCTAAAATTGCTTTAAAGTACCTCATTATGGGCAATAATGTGATTTATATCGTGCGTAATAATGTTATTGACTCGTGTTACTGGTAGGTGATGGCGCAGGTCGTGTTAGGATTAATAGCTAGCGGGAAATAACATGATTGTGGCCAAGAGACCGTAATTATGAAACTAATTTGCCACGACGATATGAAATTTAGTTGAAATTATACAGGAATGTTTCGGATTTTTGTCTTAATCATGTGAAAGGACTAACCGCCGTACCCTACTCCCTCCCAAAATGCAATACCGGAAATTAAGTTGCCTTCAAGTTACCCCACTTCCTGCCTGTCCTTGGCTTCAGGTGGGCTATGGTTGTTTATCTGAAGCATTACCACCCCCTCATATCCCAAAGTTATTTTGCTTTTTTGGCAGACAGGTACAAGCCCAATGTCACAACTAACATCCATCTTTCACAAAATAGTTTTTTATCATCACACCAGGCTAAATTATCCTCAGGGCTGGACATGTATAAATAAAATTATTGGTCAAATTCAATTTTTTTAGATCGATCTTTATTTTTTGCAGGTGACCTGTTGACTCCAACGCTGTTATAATTTAATACGAATGATAAAGCCTTAAGGTTAGGCCTACTCAGAGAAACAATTTAGAAATTACGTGCTACAAGCACAATGCGAAGAGAGCGGATGGTGCAAAAACTCAGCCTTTGGCATTCAATTAATGAAGTTCTTTTTTGATTAGTCTGATTATAGCAGTAATGATTTAGATATGACACGTCCCTCTGTTGAATGTTTTATGTTCGCCAGCGGTATTATATTTGAAGGTGTCATTGTTAAATTGGCTTTCTAATCGAAGTAAATTAACCGTTATTTAAAAAAAAATTATTTCAAACTCTGATTCAAGCAGTTTTTATTCAGAGGATAATAGATTTTTTAATTTATTTATAAAATATGAAGAGGATAAATTTGAAAGTTTAACTGAATCACTTTCATAGTATGTTTAACTATTTGGATCTCCGATTCGCCCATGAAAAGTTACTAAATTCAGTTACTAAATTCAGTCCTGCACAGGACTCGTGGATTAAAGATAAGGAGTCAGAACCCAGTAAGAGACCTGTGACAAGCCATTTTATCCTCAGTGTCTCTCTTCACCAAGGTACTACAAAAATAGTACCGGCGCGGGGGGAGTGGAATCTCAATGGGGGATAAAACCAGGTACATGTAGTTGAGCGCCTCATTGTACCTGTACGTCTATAGGTAGCAGACTTTACTCTTGGTTAGTTAATCAGTCTGGGCTATGAAGACCCACCACTAACTACATAGTAAAAAAAACTATAGGGTAATTCAGAGCAGAGAGCAGATAGAGGTTACCTGTTCTGTGTATATAACCGATTTAAACAACAAACGTTGACATCAGGTAAGCTTCCAATTGCAAGTAAAAATGCAGGCGGTCTCCAGTCGAAGCTAAATGGGCAACAGATCTGTGTAGGCTACCAGCAGGGGACTTGGTAGATCGCGTCGCATCTTAACTCTTAAATTATGTATCGCCGCCATATACAAAGCAAAGCACAATTAAGAATACCGTTCTCTCTCTTCATTGTGATCAGTAATTGTAGGCCCCTATATATTATATAAAACGTACCCATCAGCAGTCAATTTCAGATCTCACCGTGTGATTTTTGAATAATTGATTTTTGCTTCAATTTAGCTCGCTGGCTCTTTTAACAAATTGCTATGCAACAGCGCAGCAATCTTTTTGCGCGGACTTTCTGTCCGACAAGAAAGCATAAACACATTTTTACTGAAAAAAAGTCGACGGTCTTACTTCAGGGGGCAGACAGTTTTCCAGCTGCTATAATAACGCCTTTATTTTTTGTCAGTTCGTCTATGCGGATACAGACGAGAGAAAAAGGGCGATATTTCTTGTTTTTTAATTTGTCTTAACTGAATTTAGGATCCACTCATTATACAGGACTTAATGAACTGCAATCTGATCACGCAATTGAACGAGTTCAAAACACACAATTTAATGAGTTAAAAACAAGACCCGTGTTTCGACTGTGAACACATGGCAATTATGGGAAAATATCCACTCCAGTAACGAATCATAATAAAAAAAATAATTAAAAAAAATATATATATTTTTTTTTAAAAACAGCCGCCCCACTCTACAACGACTCCCGCAAGTGCTGCCAGATTACCATGTTCATCCGTCTGATAGCTCTTAGCTTAAAACTGAGAGGTAGGCCTATCAAGGTTTCAATGGGATTAATGTATTGGGAGTTGAAAGCGTCTTACTTCTGGAGTTAAGCCTTAATTGAGATGTTAGCTGTGAAACAAATATATGATATCAATATTGCAAGCACAGGTGAAGTCTGAGCAAGTTTTGGGTCACCAACATGCATCATTTTCTCTCTTGAGTACGAGTGAATGTGTGGTGCATTTTGACGATATAACCGAATAATTAAACGTCATGATCAAATAGCCTTTATAAGTGGATGTTTATAACGTTATATGGATTTCTCTTGAAAATGGTCAAAAATAGACCTAATCATGAATGCATCTGGGAGATGATCAAATTATTTTTATACTATATACCAAGCCTTACCCGTTGAAAATGTAGGCCTACTCTCGTCAACTTTGTCCCAATATTTGTTTCTCTTAAACTTAATTTGTTGCCAAAAAAAGCAAGCTGGGGTATGCTGCAACAACATGCATTTGACGCCTACGTAACGCCCTCTGCTGTCGATTCGTGTTTTAACAAACCCGTGCAGTGCTACCACCTATAGGTTAAAGCTCTAGAAACATACGGGAAGTTGTAATGGCGGCGTCCAGTAACAACGAAGCCGGGTCCTTGCCCTGCGATGATTTTTTACAGTTTCAGGTAAATTAAACTTTCATTATTCATAGGAAGTGTTGCTCAGAAAGAGAAGATTTATGTTTATAGTTCACAAGTTGTTTGTCACTGAACAGCGTTGGGACGAGGCTTGTGACCTGAGTCGTAAGTCGCACGTGTGTGCTAGTGGCTTCTTAAAGTTGAACTGTTCCAAGGTCAAAGTTATATAAAATAAAATTTCAGAATATGGATAGATGTAGTTTTTATCTGATATTCTTGCGTTACCTGCATTAACACTATCAACATACGTTGTAGTAACTAAGGTTTTGCGTGTAAATGTAACAACGAGTCTTTTTTATTGCGTAACTAGCTTTAAGTTAATGGCTTAGGTAACTTAAGTCGCAACTTAAGTCATTTTTCAGATATGAAGGTCTTATTTCTAAAGCTTCATATCTTCGTAATAACTTCAGAACTACAAAATTCAAGTGGCCCAATTTTGGGTACTTTTGTAGTATACCCCCCACCCTGTAACTTTCTGTAACTTTCACTTTTCAACCAGTTTTTTACATTGTCTTGTTCATCTATGTCAAAGCTGTTGAAATAAAATGCTTTTGTAATTACCTGTGGTCTTTTTATTAGTTTTAATCATGTTTAATCCAGCCCATTGAAATACAATTGTGAAAATCTACAATGCACCCGCAGTCAAACTTGCCGAGTCTTCGTTGGCTAACTCTAAGGTAATTTTATGTGACGATATGATTGATACATTGTATACTTGGACTTCCTTTGTGAAATTATTATGAGCTGCTTGTTCTTGACATAGATCAACAAGAAAATGCAAAAAAAAAATGTTTGAAAAGTGAAAGTTACAGAAAGTTACAGGGTGGGGGGGTATACTACAAAAGTACCCAATTTTGATAGGTATATCAGAAAATTTTTCAAACTGATCAGAAAATTAAAATACTTATATCTTCTGAAAGGTAATGCAAAAATCAGATGAATTCTTTTGGAATTTTTAAAATATTCGTACAAGCAACAAAGATATTGAAGTTTTTTAACTGCAAAATTTCACCAAAACTTTTCAACTAAAGACCCGTGACCACTGACCAGCAGTGATCACTCAGCTGTAGCTGCAGCTCAAATTGCTTGTGACCAGTTAGGGCAATTAGGGCTCAATGTTAATCTAATGACCTGAAAACAAACCCAAATTGGCGACTGCACAAGCACATGGCTGGGATGGCTTCCTTGCAGATCATGTACTGTAAATATTGCGCATCAAATAAACTATACTTCGCATGGTTCAATTTTCATAATTTTTCGGCATAATATTGCAAATTTCATGAACTTTACACATAATAAATTACAAAAACTTCCATGCAGTACTTATCTAAAATTTTTAACATTTTGTCGAGGCAAAACTTAAAAACGTCCTTAAATCAAAGTTCTCTAAGACTGCAACACGGAAAATCACGTGACCGGAATTAACTCTTTGATTTACAGCTTATCTAGTAAATGGCTTGTACTGTATTTGTTTATTTACATGGCGCTAAAAGAGAGATTAAAAAAAAAAGGATGTCATCTAGGCGAGCTGTTAGCAGGCCAGTCTCAGTTTTGCACTTCACTGCCCCTGGATAGTTACTACTGTGACGCCCCTAGCTAATTGTGATATACCTAATTTTGATATCCTGGAAACACATTTGTTAATGCATAAATCATAGAATATAAGATGCAGTGTAAACTGTTACGTTCTTATTCATTCTTCAACCAAACTTTCATGTAATTCGGGTGTCTATTGAAATGAAAAATGAAAATTAAAACTCCTTTTTAGATATGTCCACTAGACAATTACCCATACAATTGCCAAGTTGCAACATTTTATTGAAAAAAAGAGATAACATGGAGAAAATTAAATGTTAAAGCAAATTTTTGAAACTTAATGTGAAATTTTACTTTGAACAATTGTTAAATCCATCATGGCTTTCAATGCATTTAACTGTTTTACTGGCTGGGTCAGGTTCAGGGTTAGGTGATTGAAAAGTTATAAATAAGGTTTTAAAAGGATTATTCATTATCATAATTGAGTGGTACCTACTTAATGCAACTAGTGAAAAGTATTTGTCACTCTTTGTACTGTATAGCTGTAGAATGAAAACAAATATGTCCAGCCAACTTCTTTCTCTTTCAGGATACCTTGAAACAGTGGAGAAATTTAGATGATCGCATCATCAGTGCGTTGAACAAAATCATTCCTACACAGTCTTTTTCTGGCCAAGTCGATGCAAATAGCCAGTGTAAAAAGCTTTATGATGAGGTATGAAATTTTGAAAATTGTAGCTAATTAAAATCGTACAAGGTTAATGTTTCCAGGGTTTCCCTGCTTGTTAATTACCTGTATGAGCATGAGGATACCACCATTTTGAGACAGTATGCAGTCAAGTTGGTGGGCTTATATTATCCATGGACACAAGTAAATATTAACTGTATAAAAAATCTTGAAAACTCAAGATGACTGAAGACTCAAGATTTTTTCTCTTCATTTTCAACCAGAAAGTAAAATTCATGCCTCATTATAGTGTAGTAGCTTTTAAGTTTTCAATGCATGGATAAAGAGTTACGTTTGGCTTGGAGAGTACATAATGGAGATAAAAATGTACAGAATGACTTATTATTTAGTCTCTAAGTCAAAAACTCATCATATACTCTTGAGCATGAAAAACCTTTTTCATATTTCAATTTTGAAATTTTGCCTGGATTCATGATTTTCTTTCATCTTTTAGTTGATTGAGGGGCATGAGATGAGGAATAAGGCCATCTTATACTGTCTGGAAAAGGGATCAAAAGTGATAGATGAGCTCAGACAACAACGTGCCAACAACAAGGACAACTTAGACTTACTGAAATCTTTACGAAAGCAACAGACACAGGTAAACATATTTTAGGAAAATATGTTAGTAATGCAACAATAGATGTGATACAAATTTAGATAGTATTTGATGCTACAAATGACGAAAAGATATGTCGTGTCAGTTTTTAATGTTTTGTATATCTTACAGGTCCGCCTTATACAAAATGAAGTAAATGTAGAAGAAGTTGTCAGAGATAGAACACTAAAGGTAAATTTATACATATGAATATATTTTCCCCCATTTCTTCGATAGCTTGTTAAAATAACTACTTGTCATAGTAAGTTCTAGACTTAAAGGCATAGTTAGCCATTTTTGTGCAGTAATAAAGCATGTTTGGGATTGAAGACCATATTTGGACTTGATAAAACATGAACTTTTAATATGTAGATTAAACCAGTTCAGACACAAAGAAAGTTTTTTTTCTCACAAGTCCTTAAAAATATATCAAAAATTCATTTTATAACTTTTGAATGATTATATAAGTAATGAGTTTCATTCTCTTTTGTAGGTATTTTATGAACGATGTAGGGACTACTACAAGCCACCAGAAAAACCATTTGGAGTGTCGTGACAGAGACTTAGTTGTAGTCTTTTTTTCACTTGTTATCCAGATGTAGTTTGATGCATTGGAACATTTTAGAATTATGCACACTGAAATAACAAAGTTTTTGGCTGTGCACAGAAAAGAGACCAAATGAGAAACAGAACTTTTTTCAAGTTGTTTGTACAGTATCTACTACTACTACCTAAATGGTGCAACTATCAAAATTGGAAAGCTAGAGTTAATTGAATTAAAGGGATAACAGCTGTTCATATGAGATTCATACATCATTGTAAACAACTCATAGAAATATTATGAATTCTATTTTACCACCTTGCTAACTACTGGACCACGTGGACCATCACAGATGCCTATACTAACATAAAAATCTCTTAAGAGAGAATTACAAATAGCCAAACTTTTTAGAAAAAAAACAACTAACTTTGAATGTGGGAATGGACTTGTTAATCATCAGTAAGTATGGGAAAATTGTTATTTACCCCAGAAATTTTTTTATGGCCAAAACAAAGAGTTGTTATTCCTGTAACTGATTGTTTTTTTTTTTTTTTTTTTTTTTGAGTTGGTTACTTATGCTGGCTAAGGGTTTGTTTAAAGCAGCCAATTTAATTAGTTGAAGAAATGCAATACCTGAACAGAAAATAAATGAGGAAAGATAGTACCATTGCCTTCAATATGTGAATTGATCCTCTACAGAAAAAACAAATGTTGGGTCTTCTATCTTAAACATGCTAAGAATTTTCATGTACAGACACAGATGTGTCTGTACATATTGCTGACACCTGCGTCTGTCGGCGCCGTCGCCATTGGTGCCGTGCACTTTCATTGTAAACACGATAAGTGGAAGGCATTTTTACTTTTTTGGCTTTATATTTATAGAGCTGATGAATATTTATGAAACACAGGTCAATTATTGTAGAAGTTATGCTGTTTTTTCACTTTTCAGCATATATGCAACACTGTAAACACATTTCAAAGAAAACCGATTAGTAGGCTTGTTAAGGGGTCAAACGCTGCATTTTATAGTACAAATGTCTAACTTGGCATAAATGTTCCTTGGGCTAAAAGAATTTTTTTTATCCAAAGAGACGCGCTCTATAGATGCATAAATTAGCATAAATTATGCAAATTAGGTGCCAAAATATATAATATTTCATATTTCCATTAATTTTTGGCCTAGAAACATGTATAGATTATCAAACCTGACTAAATTAGGGACAAGGAACCCATTTTTGATCATTTGGAAGCAATTGGTGGCCATTTTGTGCCTCAAATCCAAGATGGCCGCCATCCGCCATTTTGAAAATGGACATAATTTTGCTATTTTATGTTGAATTTTGAAGCGTTTGGTCTATATATATTTGATATATATATATATCGATTCCTACTATTTTGGGGGTGCAAAAGTCATTTTTGATATTGTTTTGGTGATAGTGGGTGATTTGAAGGGACAAAGAGGGCGAGAGGGTGTTTTAATTAAGTGCCTACCAAGATATGTGTGAACGCTGCAAAACCATGGATATTGATAACCCGTATTCAAATATATCTCAATGCAATTTTTTGTTATATACTATCCATATTGGACTAAATTATGAGCAAAAAACACATTTTTACCATTATGGAGGCCATTGGTGGCCGTTTCCTCCCTCAAATCCAAGATGGCCGCCAAAAACTATTTTGAAATTGGACATAATTCGCTATTTTGAAACTACATGTATTACATCTTTGTAAATGAGTAAAACGTCGTTTAACATTATTTTCTGGTGCAGAATGCATTATTTGTTTCATAAAATTTGTGCCTCAAATCCAAGATGGCCCTCATACGCCATTTTCAAATTGAGCATTATTCACCATTTTGAAACTATCACACCTTCATAAGCGTGCCATACGTCATTTTTGATTATTTTCGGATTCATAAAATGTAAATAGAAACTTTTATAAGCCTCCAAATAAATATAGGATTCAGTCGCCACATGGGCCTGCAGTTTATATGTAAAATTAGTAATCCAATTAGTACAAAACTGCTTTTGCCCGATCTATAAAACAAGTGTCAGCAAACAAAATGGCTGAATTAAAGCAAAATAATACATCTTTGACCGCATGAGGATAATTGTTAGCCATTATTTTGATCAAAACCAAGTGTTGTTTGCATGCCGCTATTTTAATAATTTGGTGTAATTTATAACCTTTGAACTGTGGGCTTGTATTAGGTAAAATGGTACTATTCTGGGGGCTCAAAAGTAATTTTCCGGTGCTAATTTGGTGACAGAAGATAATAAAAAGGTACCATAATATAAGGTTGTAAAATAAATTCCAAGATGAGTTTCGTTAAGTCTGTTACAAAAATGTGGAACCCGAACCACATGCTCAAATATATCATCTAGATTTATCTAAAGTGACCATCCACTAAAAGATACTGAATAATTTAAAGGTAAACAATAAATATATATACATAGTGGTATTATATTATTAATCTTTTACTGGTCAATGTGAACCAAAAAGCCACATGTACATTTATGTCCCAGTCACTGGGGCTTGCATTTGCATGTTAAATATAGTCCAGAAGATTTGAAGGGTGAAAAATGTGTCGTCTTATAATACTATGGAACTTGGTTAGTTGTATTGATGCGAAAATGCCCGTGAAAGACAAGCAAATGAACTTTGCTTTGAAATAGCTCCANGAACTTGGTTAGTTGTATTGATGCGAAAATGCCCGTGAAAGACAAGCAAATGGACTTTGCTTTGAAATAGCTCCAGATCTTGTCTGCAAAATCATCCAGCAGCACAAAAAAAAAAAAAAAAAAAAAAAAAAAATGCATTATCAGCTCTGGTAGGCCAATAAGACAACACTCAGTAAGAATTGAGGTTTTGTCAGTGTCCTGTGAGAAACAGCCAAACAATAAATTAAAATCCAGTTTCCAGAGAAACATCAATGCATGAGAACATGTCGCATCAGAGGAAAGTGGTATCTTTACACGAAAGAAGGAATCTGCAAAACCAACTAGAAAGCAGCAGCTGCGCAGGTAGGCAAGAGGGATAAAGCAAAAAAGTCGAGGAAGCAGCCTCTTTTCCTAGTTGACAGTGCCAGTGATCATTCCTAGCATGATTTGGCCAGACAAGTCATCTCACTACCAATAGAAATCCATAAGGCAACTACATAGTTCTCATTGTTTCCAATGGACGAACAAGCACAAACCACCTACAGTGTGTGACAACTAAAGGAAAATTCATCTTGGAATCATCTTAAAACACCTTATGCCTTTTTTATTATCCTCTGTCACTAGAATAACACCAGAAATTAATTATGTACTTCCAAAATAGTAACAACTGATGTATTACGATCATATGAAAGTCCAACAGCTCAAAAAGGTAAATTATGCCATAATTTTGAAATAGCGACAGACTCTTGGATATGAACAACAGAATAGCTAACAGTAGTCACCATAAAGTCGAATCAGCCATGCTGGTCTCTTGCACTTAATCTATGTCTGGCAAAACCATTTTATAATTGTTATATAACATATTTTTGCACAAATTTGACTTCAAGACGTATACAAGCGAAGGTGAAGACGAGTATTGGTGTTGGAGCCTTGTAATATTTTTTTTGTATTATATCTCAGAAGAGATAAGACACGACTTCTACAACCCAAATGATAAGAAACGATGTATAAAATGCTAGTGTAAGAGCAATAGCTTCAAATTGATGAGTTATGCCTTACCCGTATTTCAAAATTGTGACTGGCGGTCATCTTGGATTGAGGATCAAAATGGCTACCAATTGTCTCCAAAGCACCAAGTATGTGTTCTTTACCTTTAATTAAGCCATTTTGGTCTCTTACACTTGTTTCAAGCTCTTTAGGATTTTATAAAACATTTTGTACTAATTAGACTACATGGGACATGTAAGTCTATTTGTCAACTTAAGCCTACATGCATATTGATTTTGGAGGCTAAAATAGTTTAGACTCACATTTCATGAAACAGATAACGTATTCTGCACCAGAAAATAATATAAAACGACGTATTACTCATTTACAAAGATGTAATACATATAGTTTCAAAATAGTGAATTATGCCCAATTTCAAAATGGTTTTTGAGGGCCATCTTGGATTTGAGGGATAAAACGGCCACCAATGGCCTCCATAATGGTAAAAATGTGTTATTTTTGCTCATAATATAGTCTAATAGCGCTGGTACATGTATATAACAAAAAATTTGCATTGAGATATATTTGAATAGGGGTTATCAATATCCATGGTTTTGCAGCGTTCACACATATCTTGGTAGGCACTTAAAACACCCTCTTTGTTCCTTCAAATCACCTACTATCACCATAACAATATCAAAAATGACTTTTGCACCCCCGAAATAGTAGGAATCGATATATATATCAAGCATATATAGACCATACGCTTCAAAATTCAACATAAAATAGCAAAATTATGTCCACTTTCAAAATGGCGGGTGGCGGCCATCTTGGATTTGAGGCACAAAATGGCCACCAATTGCTTCCAAATGATCAACAAGGCAGCAAAGCTGTCAAATGTACAGACAAAAAGCAGGAAATAACAATGTAAAAAATAGGCTACTGTCAATTCTGATGTAAAAATACGTTATGCTTAAATACAAATTCAACATCAAATTTTAATTATGCTCAACAGGTAATACCAATGTAAGTAAAATGTGTAACAAGCATAAGGCTTCAGGCCCATGGGAGTTCAAGTTCACACTTTGAAAATGCCAGAATGAGAAAAATGAAAATTTCACACAAAATNATTATATATTTTGGCACATAATTTGCATAATTTATGCTAATTAATGTATCGATAGAGGGCGACTCTTTGGGTAAAAAATTTTCTTTTGGCCCAAGGAAGATTTATGCCAAGTTAGACATTTGTACTATAAAATGCAGCGTTTGACCTCTTAACAAGCCTACTAACATTATTTGATTGATAAGCCCCTGGTGTGTGGAAGATATAGTGCGCTGACCAATGGGGACATCCGCTAGCACCGGCGCTGGACACGAGGCAAAAGTTTCTAAAGGAACAGTCCTTGCAGCAGCCAGGTTCAAAACCAAGGCAAATGTTTCCAAGATGCCGATGCAGTCAGCTTTAAGCTTAAGGAAAATGCACCAAAAAGAGGAAAAATTTCGCCAGAGGGAGTTACACGAGAAACATCCGGAGCTGAAAGGGGTTCTGGATAGGTATGAGGAGATCACAGAAATTTTAATTTGCAACAAACGTGTTTCACAGATTTCAGCTACGAACAAAGAAGGGAGCTATATAAAATGATTTTGGAAGATCTCCGAGGCCCTTATTCGGACTTTAAAGATAGAGAGCAGAGGCTTCTTTTGGGAAATTACATAGCTAAAATCGGACTGACTTCCTTAATGGTTGACTATTACAGAGCTTCTTTAGGACATTATGGTCTTAGTGCAGTAACGTATTATCAGGATGACTCAGTGTGGACCAGTGAACTAGGCAATATGCGCTCTTTCTTCTGGGATTACAGTGATGCCAGTCAACAATTTGCAGAAAAACTTGCACGCTCCGGCTACTTAGAGCTGATGATGAGGGATCTAAACGCCATACAGACTGGAACACAAAATAACAGTTTGGATGAAAGTGTGCGTCATCATAGTAGTGTTTTAAAAACACTTGTTTCGTTCGAACGTGTAATTGGTATTCCATGTCAGAACTTGTAAGGGTGGAGGAAAAATTCCTTGCTATATGCTAACTTATTAACGTATTAATTTCAAAGTCCTTTTAATCAAACATAGTTATTCTGGACTCAAATGTAAACATTATTGACATTTGGAAAACAGCATCCATGTGAATCTTCATGCAATGAACGAACGAAAGAAGAAATGTTACTAGATAATTTATGACGTTATTTTTTTACAGGCAAGCAAATTGAGGATAAGTTAACGTACAAAAACGCTATATAATCATGGCACCTTTCTATTCTTATTTTACAGAATCAAGGCACGTTGAAAGCTATAAAGACCGCCATATCTCCGTTGTATAACTGTTCAAAACTCGAGATTATAAAAGACATATTCCGTGAACTTAACGTTGTGGAAAAAATCAAACCTTACTTAAAATCAACCAATACGAGTAAGTTTATTGTCTAGGAACTGAATAAAACTTAAGTGCATTTCAGATTATTATATGTGGTCAGATTTTAAGTGCACTTGAATTAAGTAAAATAATGTTATTGGACTCAGAAAAACTGATAAATGTATGCTAATGAACTTTTTTGAAATTGAAAATAAATAAAATAAATAAATAAAAAGCAACCGAAAATAGGTAAAGGCATAATTCAACAAACTCTACGTTGGCTTATCTTCAACCATTTTATTTACACTTAATTAAACTGAATGGACAAGAAAAACTGAACAGTTTAAACACGTTTATTTCAGTGATAAAAGCGGAAGCCATCTTGATCGAGGCATTCATCATAGATGAACAACAAAACGGTCTGCTGACAACGGACGGGACCGTGTTCAAGTTTCTCATTAAGGGACTGAAATCCGCACTGGGTGCGCAGAATAAGAGATTCAGCGGGTTCTCTACATTTGAGCTGGCTGAAGGGCTAGGGGCACTGGCTAGAAACGACAAGAATAAGGTAGCTATAGTGAAGCATGGCGCCTTACCACTTCTCACTAGAATGCTGGCGTCAACTGATGAAGAAGAAGTAGAACAAGCAGCAAAAACGCTGTGGAAACTTTCCTTTGATCAAGGAAACAAAGTGAAAGTAATGGTAATTACAGTTTCACTATTTTTTCATTAATGTTAACGGGCCACTTTTCCTTTCCAATAAAGTTAGGAGTTTTGTCATTGATTAGTATTGTACAAGTATGAATTGTGACTGATGATTGATTAGTATGATACAATCATGCACTTCGGCTGAGGTCAACATTTTGTTTAGTAGACTTAAAAATATTGACCGATCGAGGCTTAGTCTTTTCAACTGATGTTGATATAGAGCTTTATGTGCGATCAACACATGTTTTAATTGTGTATTTCTAACACAATTATACCAAAGCCCCCTATACTATATATAGATACATTATGGTTCGATTGCAGTGAATGCCTTCAAGCCAGTTACATGCACGCGTTGTTTTAGTTTAGATAAAAAGGAAACACCATCACAATACATTTCCACATTTCAATTGATCTCTTTTTTAGGAAGAGGCAAATTGCTTTGGCATGCTTCAGAAACTTTCCCGGCATTCTAATGAAAAGATAAAGAAAGCCGCGCTAGGAGCTCTGTGGACACTGAAACAGAATCAAACCCATGTAGAAGGTGGGTCCCATCTATGTGAACCTGGCCTCGTTCAAATTGCACTTTTATCGATTTTACTCAAATATCATGATTTAAGCATGCAGTCTGTATATCTCATTTATATCATATTCCTCAACTGGAAATATAACTACCAGACGAGGCTTGTTGCTGTCAGTTAATTATTCAAAATTCCGACAGACGCTTAAGTCACGAGCCCAACTACTGTCTTTGCCAGTCTGGAACCATAAGTTCACCATGACCTTAGAACATGTAAGCAACACCTTTTAGTTGAAATTGTGCACCATTTTCATTTTGTCACGTAGAGTTCAACTTAAAGAACTTAAGTTTTAAGGTCGAAATGCTTTCTCAATATGCAGTTAGTTCAACCATGGCGGGACTACTATATAATCTCTTCGCTATTGTCCCCTTATTTCAGAGGGCATGAAAGCGACGTCTACGGACAGCGAGATAGTCAGCCGGGTTCCCCAGGAGAACGTAAAAAGCGGTCAACATATTATGATCAGTTATAATTGGAAAGACCAGAGTGTTTTGCTGAAAGTTAGTAACCGGTGTTTTAAGTAATTTATATCGTTCTCAATCGTGATATTTGTTGCACATTTTAATGGTCAATGCAATTTCCTAACGTGTGAAAAATAATTTCCACACGTTACTAGAAATCGCTGGTATATTTGACTTTTCTTTTTCTCGTCCAGATCAAGGATGCCCTACAGCAGCTAGGCTACAATGTGTGGATGGACGTCGAGCAAATGAGTGGCTCCACGCTGCAAGCGATGGCAGAAGCCGTGGAAAAGTCCATCGTCGTTCTAATATGTATATCAGAGGGATACAAGAACAGTGACAACTGTAGACTAGGTAAACGTACGACGCCATTTAGCAGTCAATCGTGAGGCACTACCTACAGCTACCTACAGTAGCATGTGCATCTTTACTTAATCTATACGTTCAACTAATAACGCGTCTTTCCCTGAAATCACTCACTGTGTATTTTCATTTTATCATCGATCCAATGTGCAATGATAGTAGTTGCCCTAAATATTGATGGGGTCCTTAGATACATTTTCAGTGACAATTTCAAAAAGGCTGCCTAGTTATTTTTTATTTTAAAATATGGATCTGATCGTATTAAAAAAATCCGAAAAAAACTCTTCAATCAATGTAAAATATATAATGCTTTATAGTACTTTAGAAACCAACTTCTTAATGCAACCCAAGTCTCTGTTTTTAATCTCGAAGTCCCTTTTTCATTTTCAAACAAGTTTCGATTTATCAAACTATCACAAAAATCAGACAAAATCTTATTCTTTTTTTTTTATAAGGATATGAAAATATAAACCTTAACCAACACAGAATTTTTTTACATTCAAGAGGCAGAATATGCATTTACGCTCCGGAAGCCGATCATCCCTCTGATGATGCAGTACAAATACACACCAGACGGCTGGCTGGGGGCCCTTCGAGGCAGTAAACTGTTCTTTGACTTCAGTCGGGACTACAACTTTAATGTCAAGCTGCAGGGCTTGGTTAAAGAACTTGGCGAGAGAGGAAAAGTGACAGGGGCGTCGTGCGTGGTACGTTTATTTTATTTCTATCGAATTCTTTCCGTATCAGGCCTACCCAATTACCAGACGCGGCACCTACGGATCCTGAATAAACTGGTATATCAGACCACACTACCCGTTTTCAAGGTGTGTGTGTCAAATCGCATTACGGAGTAATTTACGCTATAAATGTCAAAATTTTATTTAGTAATCAATACTGTTTTGCACGGACAATTTGTAACTTGGGTAAAACATCCTTTCTTTCTTTTGTGGAGATTCTAAGAGAACATGTTTTCACTAATAGCTCTATCTTTATAAACTTATTTCACAAGAGACTGAAGTACGCATACATATATACGAGCGCGAGTGTGCGTGCACGTACGCACGCGCAAAGATATTCAGTTTACGCAAATGTAAGATAAACTTCACCTCATAGGCGTTCCTTATTGATGCTTGTTTCATACATAATCTAATGTCAATTTTTGAACTTAATAACCATTCAAATCAAATTCAGTATGTGCTATCACAAAAGGTTACCAATTACCGTTTCCTTTTTCTTTTAAGGATTTTTCTCTGGTTGAGCAAACTATTAACAGAAGGCGAAATCCAGCCAACTGGTCCTCAGAGAACGTGATAGATTGGCTAAAAGAAAACGACTTGTATAGGTAACATACATGTACATGTATTATTGTGTGTTTAGGAATAGGCGCCTTAATATGGGAAGGTGTCTTCTAAATTTGGCGGATGTAAAATCAAGATCACTTGGTTAAACAAATCAAAGTAAATATTTTGTTTCATCCAGCTCTTGTTCCAATTAATGAAGAATGATAAATCCATATCTCATCTACCGTGCTCAAATGCCTAGTGTGGAATTTTATTTCCCTTTCTTCATTGGTCAGATACCTTAAACTTTACATTTTCCATAAAATATTAAATTTGCCCCTGATTTCGTCTAATAAGTAAATAGCCTAGGAAGTAAAAAAGGGATGTTTAACGAACGTCGGACGGCAATAAATGGTTGGCCTCTTTGCAACCCCACAAATGAAAATATTTGCACTATTTGTTTTGATATTTATTTTTAAGAGATAACATTACGTAATTTTAACTAATTAACATTATTTAATGCTATACAATATCTAACACCATTCTTTAATAGAGGGACCTTTCAATTAAAGCGGCCGCTACCGGCCAAATTTCGAACACTATTTATCTGTGTTTGTCATTTACATATCCTTTGGCTTGGATTAATATTTAAGTTTAGTTTAGTTTAGTTTATCTCACTGTAACATATGAAAATGAAAATATGAATACGATTTTTGTGAATATGATATTAATGAGGAGACATAAAATATTAAATTTGCCCCTGATTTCGTCTAATAAGTAAATAGCCTAGGAAGTAAAAAAGGGATGTTTAACGAACGTCGGACGGCAATAAATGGTTGATGTGATGAGTTATTGATATCAGGATTTGTTATTCCAGGCTTCATCAATTGCATCTTTTGACGGGTGAAGAAATTCATTTCCTAAAAGGCCTCATCCATAAGGTACAGCCGTGACATTAAGTGTCATTTGTGAAATACGAGTATTCTACTGGTACTCTAAAAGATGATGCTTGCGGTTTCCTATTCATAAAAGTAATTGTAAATCACCACAACCACCCAATTAAGTCCTGATGTAAATATGATTTAAAAGCAAATTTCATGATATTTGTTTTTACTTTAAGTGTTAAACAATTGTATGTAAAGTATGTGGTATTTATTTTTAGGCACCAGAGTTTTTCTTTACATACCTTAGAGAAGAGCTTGGCATAAGACGTCTACGTGACCTGATGAAGCTGAACAATGCCCTACAGAAGTTATAGGGCGGTCATGTTTATGGAAAGCTAAACAAATGATACATGTAACAGCAAATATTATCAAACAAAAAATAATAATAATCCTGGCTGGCCTGGACTTCTGACAATTGCTTTCCCTATGGCAAATGCGCATTTTGTCTTGATAAATTCTTTTTGAAAAAGAATTAAATATCTTTGTATATTATAAGAAATGTATTTGTACAGTACATTATCCGGTCATCTTTTCATTTTGCTATCTCAGCTGCTTTTAAACTAAGTTTCAGTTTTTACCTCCCAAGTAAAGTCATTTGAAATGTAATATAAAATTACCGCGTGTAGGAATTTTCAATTTTAATATTGCTTTTAAGCCTTCCTCTGAGTGAGTGCTAGTTTATTTGTTGACCAATATTTGGATTCGTGGTCAACAAGATGACACTTTATAATGAATAATAAATAATAAAAAATCGATATTTTTTTAAAATCCAGTAACCTGTTTCAAATGTTATTTTAATTTTTAACGCTTCATCAAAAAGAAAAAGAGATATGAAAGAAAAAGAGATATGATATAAGAAAATATTGGTATCCATTGTTTTTCACGGGGTTGCAAGTGAACCCCTCCTTCCCACCAGACTAATACCGTTGTCTTTGAACTTCTGGCATCAGACACACCTTTCGTCACATACACGACTCTTTCCAGGATCGAGTTGTTGGATCCATGGTCCGTAATAATGAATAATAAAACGGCATTTTTAAAATTGATGTATTTTTTTTAATTCAGGAGTTTGTTCAAACGTTAGAAATTATAAAAAAAATCAACTCTTCATCAAAAAAAAAAAAAAAAAGCGTGTGTC